AATTATTTCTTGCTTTCCATGTCAGTGGGGTCATCCCGACATCAATTTTAGGTTAAAATTGACACAAATTGAATCGCAGCCCTAAATAGTGTTAGGTTAAACCACTTTGTTACGTTGCAAAATTGTGGGAGAGCACTAGAATGGAATGAAATTTTGTTTTGAAAATTTTAGATCCAAAACTTAATTTTACATTATTTGAATTAATTATGATTTTATGCGAATTTAATTTAATTTGTGATTTGAAGATAGATTTCATATTCTTATATTTATCCATATACTTAGAGACGGTAACTAAAATATGATGAACTGGTTAATCTTTGGTAGACTAAACATGGAAGTTTTTGTAAATTTTAATTTGTATATAACTTTTTACATATAATTTACCACTTCAATTTGTAGCTTAATAGATTTTTTTAGTTTTCTAGTTTTTTTTTTGGAAACAAATACATGCATGGAGTTTTGGACGAATTCTAAAAATTCCAAATTACTCCTAATTATGTGTGGATAGAAATTACATTTTCCAAATATAAACAAATTTTGGCAATTATATTTTGTTTGAAAATGGACAAAGAAATATTACCAAAAAATTAAACACAAACTAATATTATTTGATTCTCGTACTTTCAACTATTAACATTACTTGATTCTAGTACTTTCAACTATTAATGTTAGTCCATTTGGATCTCCATAATTTGAAAATATACATTTTTTGATACTTAAATTTCTAACTTTAGTTCATTTGAAATCTCTATCCTTTTATTAAAACATTTGCTAGTCCCTATTTGAAGGAAAAAAACTCTCTTAGCATATTTATTTTCTTTATTATGTTATTTATTTCTATTAAAATTTTAACATAACAATCTACTCAAATATAATTTTAAATTTGTGTTAAAGAATTTCACAGGTATAAAAGTAACATAATTTTACAAACTAGAATTAAAATAGTTCATTGTTTAATTGACCAAAATGAACATTTAAAAAATATAATAGCCATAAGGAACAAAATGAAAAAAGCAGGAGAATGAAAATAAGTATTATCAAAATACAGTAACAAATAAATCAAAGCTAATAATACAGAAACCAAATTAGTGAAATTCCAAAAAATACAGTAACAAATAAATCAAAAGCTAATAATACAGAAACCAAATTAGTGAAATTCCAACTTTGCCGATTGCTCCTTTAATTCTTCATCGGACGGTTTGGGATGGACTTATTTAAAAAACGAACCTAGGAATCTATTTAATATTTCTTAATTTGATTTTAACATTACAGTAAAGTTATAAGCTACCCACCTATAATAATGTGTGCAACATTATTATATTTATTTACCTTCTAGGGAACTTAAATTAGTTGACAAAAAATTTAATTTGACTACAATACTTTCATATGCTGCATTTACTCTCATCTTTTCCCTATACAATATGCTATAATAATTCATAATATACATGTACTTATTTTTCAAATATCATGTACACTACTGTATAAGCTTATATATAGGCTATGTATAGACCATTATCGGCGAAAGTATTCAAAACAAAAACTACTATTTACTACAGAAATAATAAAATTGAAAGAAAATACATTATACGCAACAAAAGTGAACAGAATGTCAGAAACTAAAAGATTAAAGAACTTTTTTTAAAATACAAAATCTAAAATAAATAAGAATTATCAACAAGTTTAATTTATTTCTCTAACAATCTAGATATCGCAAGACCTGTTTTCTTCATCAAATTATCGACTAAACTACATTTGAAATGCATCAAAAGACGAAATGAAACGATCAAATATGAACAATTAATAAAAATCAGACCAATTTTCTACATTGAGTGTTCTCCATAGAAAATGGATTCCAAAGAAATAATCTGAAATGGCTATAGAAATTAGAATATATCGAAAAAGAAAATGGTTACATTTGGTTGTTACATCTCAGAAACCACAGGAAAAGAGGTTATTCAACATCTAGGACATCAAAACAAAACAAAACAAAGCAACATCGTACCCCAGCCGACATTCCCACTTAGAACATAAATTAGAAGAAAGCGTGAAACTTTCAGAAGATGGCCACCGATCCAGACTAGATCCGATCATGAAACCCGAAAGTGTCAGATGTTCCACAAGAACGCCACCAGCACCTGCAAAACACACAAAACTACGAACCAAAACAAAAGTCAAGAGAAGGGTGACTTTAGAAGATGAAAAAGAAAGAACATGACTAAAAAAGATTAAATATTTAGTAATTTACTAGAATCTAAGATGATTAGTAATTTATAATTAAGCATGATGAGGAAAGATTAGAGAGAAGATGTAGAGCTCCCTTCAATCCAAAGGAGGATCTAACTCATCAGGTGATGAATCTCCTGAAATATGCAAACCACAGGCCTATCAGCTTCAATGATTCAAGATGCGATAGGACTATGGGATCCATAGCTCAGCAGCTCTATCAACCTGGCATAAACCTCTATTGGACTTCAAGGAGCTCTGCCTCCAAAACCCTAATTACCCACAAAACAAAATTAACATCACTTTTTTTGCCTCAAACCCTAAGAAAATCAGAAGAACACCCAGAAAGCGAAACGTGAAAAAGATCAGATCTTTACAGCAAACACCCCACGTTTCAAAAAACTAACAAGAACCAAGTAAATAATAACAAAAACCCAGATGGGATCGGATGGATTCAGGTCCTGATGAGAAAGAACTGAAGCTGAGCCAGAAAAAAACCCTAGAAGAGAGAATGAAGTGCAGTGTAAAGCATGGAGCTTTATGGGGAAAAAAGGCAGGAGGGGGGAATAAGGAGTGTGGAAATGGGCCATGAAAAAGAGAAGAGGAGAAAGGAAAGAGGGTTGAAATTGAAGTTGAAAGGATTGGGGCATTAAATTTTTATAGTGCAAAGGCGAGGGAGAGGGAGAAGGGAGGATAAAAAAATAGTGGAAAACGGTGTGGGGTTTGAGCAGGAGCTAGGCTGTTTTCTTGCTCCTACCAAGGAAAAATATCTCGGGATGCGCCTTCTGAGATTCCCACTTTTTCAATTATTTTTCTCTCTTTTTCCTTTCATGTGAACTGTTGGGGTTTCCATTATATATTTAAGTTCATGTCCCGTTGTGATTTGGTAATGAGATATATAGTTTGTGCTGCGACAATCAACTCTCTCCGTTTCTACTTTTGGTTTCATGTCGAATGTCTCCTATTAAAATATATCGTTCTTGTCAAAATGAGCATAACTCAATAATGATTAGCGTATATCTCCAATCAATATATTGTGAGTTTGATCTCCCACCTCCATTTATTGTACTAAAAATATATATATGTGATATTTACTTATATATTTATATAATCTCTCTTCTAATTGACAATAGAATTTCATAGTTTGTAGTTAGTTACTTATTTGAAACAAAACCTATAAATTTTGGAGATTAAATTTCTCTCTCTTCGTCTTTTTGACATTTATTTATAATAAGCTCGATGTTTTGCTTTAATTACTAGATATTAGTTCATTATAAATTTTGGAGATTAAATTTCTCTCTCTTCGTCTTTTTGACATTTATTTATAATAAGCTCGATGTTTTGCTTTAATTACTAGATATTAGTTCATTTATAGTTATGGTTTTTGGTTTTTTATATGTATGTTATTGGTAGGAAAATGTAATAGATTTTTTTAATTCTAATGGTAGGATAAAGATTCATAATGAAGGTACGCTGTAAATTCTATTTTTACAGAGACTATGATTCGAGTTTATGACCTTTTAAGCTATAATTTAAACTTACCCCAATTGACAAATTGTTATATATATATATATATATATATATATATATAACTAGCAACTTGTAACGCCCCAGGCCCAGGATTCGAAATCCATATTCGACACATCTTTTTCCCGACGTTCTCCTGCATCCCCTGCGAACCGAACGCACCACCATCTAGTTTTGAGCTACTTACAAGAGCGTAGACTATCCCTACAGACCAACACGACTCCTAAGATTGCTCCAGGTCAAGTACGTTTAACTTTTGAGTTCTTACGATTGAGTTACCGAAAATGAATGTATACCTTGTTAGTATAGGTAGTAACTATTATTTCTTTTAAGCTTTATTGACCATGCTCTATGGTTTCAGGATATCTCTTATTTAGATGTGATATCAGTTCATTCATGTACCGCTCCTCTCTGATCGGACGTTACACAACTTGTTGGACAGAGGTCGAGTTTTATTTTTTGTTTTTAATACTAATAATAAATGTCTTTGTAAAATTTTAGTTGATATCACCATCCAAAATTTAAGTGGGTGAGAATAGAATTGAATTTATCAAAACGGAAACAAACAATAAATAATGCTGAAATTAAGACTAATATAGGGTCAAAAGAGTAATTTAGCTTTAAATA